TGAACATCAGGTCCAGCCAAAACCACCACAGGACCGCCTGCAGCTGGACCAATCCAGCCGCACGGCCCGCTCGGCTGGGGCCCTTCAGTCCACGCGAGTGGAAAATGCACCCCCGGGCCCAGCGTCGAAGCTGATGAAAGGCCGAGGCGTTTCCTGGCCACGCGGCTTTGGGAGAGTCACTTCCTCCGTCTAAGCCGCAGTTTCCTTCCCTGCAAAGGGCTGGGGCCCCTGACCTCGAAGGTGCTGGGAGGTTCTAGAAGCGACTGACAAAGCAACGCTGAGTCTCCTCAGAAAGCAGCTGGGGAACCCCTCTCCAGAAACGTGCTGCTGACAATGCTGGGGTTCTTGGGTGCCCTGAATTCCAGATCTGGCTACTGCCAGGGGGGGAAGGGAGGCTGGGCCGGACATACAGCCACTCAGCAGTCTGCCCATGATGATTACTTTGGTGTCAGTGCCCCTGGGGAACTGTCAGTCACGTGTTCGCTTGATTAGCATAACCACCCTTTCCTCCTGACACTTCGTGGGGAGGAGAGAATGGAGCTTTGAGGGAACAGATGGCAATTGGGGGGGGGGGGGGGGGGGGGGGGGGGGGTGCAACCAATCCCCTGAATCTCTTGTTTCCTGGGAAGGTTCTCTCCAGAAAGGAAAGGCTAGTGTGCAAGGTCCTGTGTGTACAGCGTCCGCTTGTCCCGGGGGACACGTGCCAAGACCCCCAGTGGGTAACTGAAACCGCGGGTATACTACGTTTTCCCTATAATACAAACCTGTGGTCAAGTTGAAGCGACTGTGCCTTTGGGGCCATTAAGTGAAACAAGGACACAGGCACCGTGACACCCGACGGTCGCTCTCTGATGACCAACACGGCCACTACGGGCGGGAGCGTGCCCCGCGCGATGCTGGACGAACGGATGATTCGCACCCCAAACGGACGATTGCATCACGCTACTCAGGGCGGCCCACAGTTGAAAACTTATCAATTGTTTATTTCTGGAACTTTCCATGGAATATATTCGGACCGGAGTTGACTGTACGTCAATGAAATCACGGAAGGTAAAACCGCGGGTTGTGGGGACCCTGTCCTTTCCGGCTGGTCGGGGGTTAGAAGTGATCTGGGTGCTAAAGGCCAGGGGCGACCCTGGGAGAGGGACAGCGAGAATGAGAGGAATGTTCGCCACGCCCCTGCTTGGCTGAATACTGACCGTTCACGGGCAACAGCACTTGGAGACAAGCCCGCCTTTCGTGTTTTTACGCTGACTGAGCAGGTGCTGCGCCAAAGCTTTTCCCACCGTCATCCAACAGGATCCCCTCCAGCCTCTGGGGTGGGAAGGCCTCACCCCAGGCGCAGCGAGAGGCACCCGGCCCTGCCGGAGCCAGAGGAGCAGGCGCTGAGCGGATCCCTGACCTTGGCCAGGCCCCAGCAAGAGGCCACCTCTGCTACCAGAGAAACAGCTCAACGCAGGCAGCCAGACGGGAGCAGAGGACAGCAAAGACCTGGAGGGGGGCTCTGGAAGCAAAAGCGGGGTGACTTGGCAGCCGGCCACCACGAAGCCAGAAGCCAAGGCAGCTTCCCGGGCACCCAGAGCTACCCCAGGAGGGGCTGGTGGGTGCAGCCCAGGAACCAGGCCTGTCCCCAGCCCACCAGACCCATCAAGGGAGGTGCCCCAGTGTCCTGGCAGTGAGGAGGGTAGGGAAGAGCTCAGACTCGGAGCACTACAGCTCGGGGTTCAAATCCTGCTTCTGCCACTTGCCAGGCAGTGACCGGACAAGGGACTTCATTCTGAACTCTGTTTCCTCCTCCAAAAGTGAAAGAGAGATAATGACAGCCTTCCTCCGGGAGCCATTATGAGGCAGGAATGGCGTGGGTGCCGCGAGCACCAGCCTGGGACAAAGGGCACGGGCTGTGGAGCCTGGCCACCGCCCGGGGGCTTTGCCGAGCCCCCAGGAATGGAGGCTGGGGGTGTGGGTGACTGTGCCTAGGGCTTTCCAGAGAGGAGCTGGGACTCAGGGGACCGGGAGCTGCGCCCACCTCCCTGGGCACTCCCATCCCTGGACTGCAGCCTAGGGAGCCTGCCCGCTGACCCCTGGGCACAGGCGATGCTGCATTAGGGGCGGGCGCCATGGAGAGGGGGTGGGCCCCTCAGAGGGGGATGGTGGGTTCCCCGAGGGCACCGACAGTGACTTGGGGGGAAAGCACTCTGGGGGACAAGCTGCAGGGCAGGGGAGACCATCTGGGCCCCGGATGTCACAGCTGGGTCTGAACTTGTCTGGACCTCCAGGGGTGAACTGGCTCACTTCTCAGGCAGAGAGGTGCGCGCCGCGAATTTGAGCTGAGGCACAGCTGCTCGGGGAGCCCTGGGTCTCTGCCAACCCATTTCACTGACAGGGCAGTGGAGGCCCACCAGCGGAAATCACTTCAAATCCCACGCTGTCTGAGCTTCACCTCCCCTCCTCCGGTCCCATTCCAGGAGGAGGGGCTGGTTAAGAAAGCTCTGGAGTTGGATGACTCCCGGGCCACATGGATCGTCCCTGCTCTGAGCCTTGGTTTTCCCTTCTGTAAAATGGGCTGGTGGGAGGTTCCAATAAGAACAGCGAGTCCTCAGACATCTCAGCTATTGTTTCATCTGAGCCCCGATCACGATGGAAATAAACGGGGGGAGGCTGTTCCCACATCTCTGTCCGTTCTCCCTACTCCGATTCCTCGCTTCTATACAGTTTTTTTGAAATACCAGCTTAATGAGTACATCTAAGCCCGGATGGTGAAAGGTTCCCTGGTGTAACCACAGCAACCAGCCCCGAGCCGCCACGCTACAGAACACACAGGCCTGGCCCTGCTGGGGCTCGGGTGGCCAATAACCCGGAGGCCTCCTCTTGGAACAAATACAAACAATTAGGGAGAAGGTGCTTGAGGCGTCCAGGACGGAGGGGAGGGGGCGGGAGGGAGGCAGATGGCTCGGCCCAGCTGCTCTCAGGAGCCCTTGAAATGCCTGGTGCTGGGGAGGAGGCCGGCCAGGCAGCTTAGCTTGCAGCCTGAAGGGCCCTCTCAGGGCTAAGGGACAGGCTGAGCCGCAGTCACCCAGGGCCACGCGTCCAAAGTGGAGCACCACCCACGCGTGGGCATTTGAATTTAAAGTAAAAGGAAAGAACGTTTCAAATGCAGCTCCTGTGTGTCAGCCACCGGGGGGCCGGGCGCAGGTCTAGATGGGGCCAAGCTGGCCCTCCCACCCCTGGCCTGTTGCTCTATGGCCTAGGAGCTAAAACCGGCTTTTAAATTGTTTTTAAGGGAGAGAAGAGAAGAGAAAGGGGAGCAGAGAAAGGGGGAGAGGAGGGAAGAGAAGCAGCAACAACAACTCAGTGTGCTGCACAAGACCTGAAGTATTCACTCTCTGGACATTTATAGAAAAGGTCTGTGGACCCCGGGGTAGGACATCCCCAACACTCGCACTAATTTCTGTTGGACAGCGCCGACTTGGAAGGCAAAGGAGCGGCCTGGGGAGGGGGGCCAATGAGCCCCCTTTTTCTTAGAGGAGAAACGCAAGCATTCATTATGCTCCACTGCATATTTAACACGGAGCCCAGGGCTTTCCATGCCCTCCCTTGTTTTATCCTCACAACAGCCCTGGTGGGCGGGTGAGGGCCCGGCTCTCTAACGTGCGGATGACGAAGGCCAGGTGTGTGCCAGGTGAGCAGGACTCAACCAAACCGAGCAGCACACAGAGACCACAGGTAACAAAACAAAAAGACAAGAAGGAAACAGACACACAATGCCACCAGGGGCAGGTGAGGATGTTTCTACTCATCACAGACTTGCAGGGTGTTGTCATATTGTCTTTCTACATAATAATAAAATGACTAGTATTTTAAAAAATTATAGTGGGGACTCAAAGCCCAGCCCCATGGGCTACTGACTGACCCACTCTGAGCCTCAGTTTCCTCATCTGTAAAATGGGGGTGATAACAATGGGCATATGGCACCGGGCCCTTGAAATGTGGCCGCTGTGGAGGAGGAACTAGCCTCAGAGAAGCGCTGGGGGACTTAAATAAGTCAGAGCGCGATTTACATGCCGGCTTTCATTTTCTAATTTCATCCTCTGTGGAAACTTTTGTTTCTTATCCTCACCCGAGGAGAGAGAGAGGGGTGAGAGAAACATCAATCGGCTGCCTGCTGCTTGTGCCCCAGCTGGGAATGGAACCAGCCACCTCTCGGTGCCCAGGACGCCGCCCCACCCGCTGAGCCACCCGCCAGAGCTGTGGGAACTTTGCAGATGGGGCTTTTCATTCCCATCTGAGAGGTGAGGAGACCGAAGCTCTGAGAACTAAGTGGTCAGAAGCCTCACCACTAGCAAGAGGAGAAGCCAGTTTCCATCCCTGGCTCTGTCCCCAGGCGGATCTCCATGGCACCGTCATGGGACTCCTAACATGGGTACAGCAGGAAGATGGGAGGGAGCTTTGCTCGCTTTTCCCACTGACCCTGGAAGGGGGGGGGGGGGCTGTTCAATCTTCAAGAGCCTTTTAGACCCACATTCATTCCACAAGTGTTTACTGA